TGTCACACCCTTGCTACTACCCTCCTGCTCGGGTATAGCTGGCGTGAATTGTGAGCATGCCCAGTCGAGCGGAGTCGGTGGTGGTCTATTTTGTACTCCCATGAGCACAGGAGCAGCAGGCGCAGAAGCCTCGTGCGCCTGCTACGTACTGACCGAAGATCAGGACGGAGTGACCGGAATGACTGAGTTGGATGGGCCAGCCAGTCTGAGTTTCGAGGCCCAACAGCAGCATCCGTATGACATGTCCAGCAACCACCAGGCTGCATTATGTGGCGGTAATAATAGCTGCCACATGGGCGCCGGCGAAGCAGGCTTCCTCTACTCCTTGGGAAGTGGCTGTCCAGGAATAGTGAGCGTTACCACAGCAACCCTACCGCCGTCATCGTTATCATTTCAACAACAGCTTCCACCGCCAGCTCCGCCGCCTCGTAGTCCCCGGATTGGCTCCAGTATGACAATGCGTCGAGCCATTCAAATGAACACTTCCAATGAGGCTGCTGCTATTTCCAACTCACATCATCACTTTCCACACTCGTATAACCTTAGTCGAATGGGCTCTGCCAGCGGAGCCAGTGTCGGCCCGGAAACAGGTAGTCTTCCTCGATCCAGCTCATCCAACTCATCTGCCACGATCTCTCGTATCCCCAGTGGCTATTCAGCCCAATCACGACAACCACATCGGCAGGCGACTTCGGTAGCTCAGAATCCAATGGTTTCATGCTCTTCAGCTTCCTTTTCTGCTGCCCCAGGAGTGGTGCCGACACTTCTTCGGCTGGATCTGCGTTCCGAAGAGGATCACTTGACTCAGCAGCATCTATTGCATCAACAGCGCCGCCGATATCGTGGCCTACCTGCTGGAGCCGTACCTACTCCATTGAACGGATTGCCACCATTCAGTACAGCCAAGCAAGTGGCATTTGCTCTCGGGCCCGTCGATCATCCTACACGGACTACGTGCACGGCCAATCACAATGCCTATGAGGGTCTGACGGACTCTGACTCAAATAATACTGCAGGTGAGCAGACTACTATACCTCGGTACCCACGGTTTGGCATTCTATGAACTTTTTCTAAAAGTCTACTTAATAACGACCATTGGATTGATTACTAAATATGGAGACTATCCTCTCACCTACAATGATAAACTTTTTTTCATGATTTAATAGTTATACACCTTTAGATTTCAAGAATAATGTTAATTGATAATCTCATTCATTTATGGGCACTTAACATAATTACGGGAAAGTGTCCAGATGTGTTTTGATATAGTCATTATTCTTCATTCACTGACTTCAAAATAAACTCTATTTGCTTTGCCAGATAATCTGTCAATTGCGTATCCTTGAAATGCATCTATCTACTAAAGTACCACATTCGCAGATTTCATCCAGTGATCTGCATAACTCCAGTAAAATTTCGTATTTAGGATCTTTACAGGAGAAGATATTTGATTAACAGACTTTAGTGTGTAAGGTTTTATTCTACGCATCCATCTTGTTTTAGTCTGCTCAAAATTTAATGAAATGCACTATTTGGTATGATTTTATTAGCGAATGTCCTAGCATTTTTTTATCAAAATTACCTCTACTCAATGCATGTATGCCTAAAATGTCAATATAATTTGATTACCTACTGCAAAGTTTATCTTACATATTTCTTAACCTTTAAGGTAGGTCTTTGAATATCGAATTTTGAATATTTATTTTGACGGGCAAAAAGAAATGTGGTGTTTGATGGAGAATATTTGAATGAACACTCTTTCCACTTTATGCGGAATACAATAAAATTCCATTTATAACCTTAAGTTTCCCATTTTAAATTTCATCTTTGGACCAGAACTAATTCTCAGGGGTGTATTTTCTGTCCCTCTTAGCCGACGCTGATTTCACTGTGAAATCACTCAATGATTGACTTATGCGCGTTCAAGCCTTTGAGCCGAAAATCATGTTAAATTATATTATGAGCGAGCTTGACATAAAATGTCTTGCTGACCCAGATGTAAGTATCGGGTTTGTGGATGCACTTTACCTGGTAGATGACTTTTTTTTCTTTCAGAATTGCATCTTTTTAAAAGAGTAGTTCATCATTTGTTAAAAATAATATGACACTTTTCTCTTATAAAGCATCCTAGAGACTCATTTAAGTAGTTTCATAAACTTTCGAAGAGGCAACTCTCATTATGCTTTTAATTTATTTAGTGACTATAAATAAAGTTAAATCGAAGGTATGAAGACCAAGATGATGTGGCCTTTTGTGTGGTCGCAGACTCCTTTCGTTATATAGAAGTTGTTTGACCTTGTTTTCGCAACTCGGCCATATTGGTAGGAAGACTCAGAGGAACGCACCTTGTTCTGAGTCTATTGTATGCATAATCATTTCCAAAGTCGGAACGTGGACGTGGTACATTCCTAGACTTTTCGCCGGCATTGTCAGTGAGTTTTTCCATTCCTAGCACCATATTACAACTCGTCAAAAAGACAAGTGAAGCCGATCCTTTGACCAAACGTGTGCTAAACAATTATGGCATCTCCCCTTCTGCCCTGACCTATTCACATTTCCTATATCCTCCAATCACGCTTTCACTTTCACAATATTTTACTTGCTTAATTAAATGTGGTACGGTGTGCCCTTTTGAGCGGTTTTCATGAGAACCCACCGCACTCCACCCTTGCCTTCTCACCCCCCTTCATCCTTGTGCTGGGAATGTTGATCAGAGTCTGCCATATTGTTACGCAGTCCT